AAGGAATACAAAATTTGATGCATTTATAGTCTCAACATTTGGACGTATGTGAGTTTGGAAAAAAACATTTTATAATTATAAATGAGTCAAGTCAAGGCTTTAATTTTTTATAAATAAGGCAAGTCAAACCTTGAATTTAGCTCGTATAAAGCCAAACTCAAAATATTTTTCATAAGCTTGGCTTGTTTAAGCTAAAGCTTGGCTCGGCTCAGCTCATTTACACCCCTAACTCTTGCACGTGCGTAAAAGTATGTGAAATCTATATTTTCTTGTTCTCTTTCTTCTTCTCACATGATCGCACATGGGCCCCACATACTTTTATGCATATGTAGGAGATAAAAATTATCTCCTATAACATGAGATACATCAAACCTTAACCAATTACGCCAAAACCAAGTTTAGGGAACAAGTTCATGCTCTATTTAACTTAGACGTAGGAGGTGTTTGGTAGAGGGATTTTTTTTAGATTCCCTAGAAAGTGAGGGTGGTAATCTTATTTACCCATATTTAGTATAAAGTTTCTAAAATATTTTCCGAGAATCCAATTTTCTTGGAATTTTGTTTTGTGAGTAAAATTTAAACGAAAATACAAACCAAGAACCACCCAAGAGGTGGTATTTTTGAATTCCCGGCAAAATGAAAAAGTTGAAGCAAAGCAGCTGACTAAATTAACCTTCCTATTTTTGTCAATCCCTATTCTTTTCAATACCACACAAGTACTGCTACTAAACTTGCATTTCTGGCAGGAGTTGGCTCTGTGTAGTTGTAGTTACTTCGGACATCATGGAAACCATCATGCTTATCAGGACCAGCAACCATAGCTCCAACAATTGTATTTGGATTTGGCTTCGGTGTGTCCCTCCATTTCCATCCTCCTACACAGTTGTACTTAATCTTGTTCTTTAGTAAAGATACACCTCTATGGTGAACATGTTTTGGATAATGATTATCAAAACCTACAATATAACTCATTTTCTGAGGGTTCTTTGCAAGGATGTTATCAATCTACAAATTCACCCAAAAAATGGGGGGAAATTTAGCCAGGCACTTCATATTGATTTGAATTATGCCACTTGAAGTAGCAAAATATCACACACTTAGGTCTTGGCAAAGTCTCGAAGAACATCAGTGGAATAGAGATTAGGTCAACAATACAATCTAGGTGTATCAGCAGCATCGAGATAATCACACGAGCGAGTAGCAGAGTTATGAATAGGTAAAGTAGAACTGACAGGCTCAAAGGGTTGTTTCATCACACGGGGTTATTTTTGTAAAATCATGTCATATTTTCAGTAATATTTTGCAATCAACGAAACATAAAATTAGTAATCTTAAGCCAGTATTTTCGGAAATAGTTTGGTATACTAAACAACTTTTAGGTAACATTATCGAAAAATTTACTTTCCCACCAGAATCATGATTCGCGGGCAAAAAAAATTATTCTCTACAAACGTCCCCTAGTGTACCCATCTTAAGCAAATCTAACATCACTTTCTTGTATTATTATCATTATTATTATTATTATATACTAATAATAATAATAATAGGGGACAAATAGCACCTAGTATTTTAACACAATCATGCAATCCTCATTCCCACCAAGCTCGACAATTGTTGAGACACCAATACCCAAATGTATAACCTAATCAATAAGTTGTCAGTCATATCTATTATTAACAAAGTTAACTTTTATTGTTTACAAACTATTACTACTAATCAAACAACACATTATTATTTACACATCACAAATTATCACAACATCATTCCAAGCAACATATATTATAATTTTGACATCCAATAAGTTATATTTCTTTATTATTGCAATGAGAAGTTACAAGAAGATAATAGAGAGTTTACTGTTATTGTTGGCAAACTACTACAATAGAACAAATTAATCAAAGATAGTTTTTCTATTCCTGGAGAAAAGAAACCAAGTGCTTGATGAATCTATTGGCATTCTCAAATTGAAGGATTGAACAAATGATAAACATGATCCTCATCTTTTTCTTCAAACAATTCTAATTTCCCTTGCCACCCACTCTTCTTCACAAGTTCATAAAACCAAACTCCTCAGTCCCTGCAGAATGAATAGGAATAACCCTAATGCACGCTTTTAAAGAGAAAGTATGTGGGCTTTAATCTTGGTCGCAACTCGCTAAGGAGCTCACTTAAGTGAGCTGTATAGCGAGCAAATTTTAACTCCTCACTGGCATTGCTGGCTCAAGCGAACTAGAGAGCAAGTGAATGAGAATTTACAAACTTCCTCTCTCGACTTGCTCGCTTGGGCGAGCAAGCCAGCGAGCATAATTTAATTATGATTAATTCTTCATTTGTCTTCATCATTATCCCTTCCGGCTGCCTTTATCCGTTAATATTTGTAATTATCATTTTAAACCTAAAACAATATGAAAAGAGATAAGAATCATACCAAGTGTAAAAACTTTATAATCTTCTGCATTTATTAAATTATACTATGTTCTTTACCATATTCATCTTTATTTAATATATTTTTTATCATAAAAACATAATGTCTATGACACTCATGAAGAGCATTTTCGATACACTCAGTGTACCTACAACTTTCATTCAAAAATTGACACTTTGATTATTATTTTTTTCTCTTTATCATACACACATCACACAATATGTCTCATTTTAATTGGCTCGTAAGACCGAGTTAGAGATGCGACAAGTGTATCTAAAATATTTCAGATTGAAGATAAGGAAATGTTATATTTATAAATTTTTGTTTACAAACTACACTATGTATGACCAGTAAGAGACTCTTGAGTAAAGGATTACCAGTCAGACATAATGTAATTTGTAAGTTTGTAAAAAAAAAAAATTGTCAATATAACCATACTCTTGAAGATATGTTAATTTTTTGTGTATTGTTTTTATCTCTACTTTATCTAATTATCTGGGACACTAGTTTAATTGAGATTCTAATCAAATAGTATTAAAAAAGAGTAAGTAGAGTAGATATAAAAAAATATAGACATAATATCTTATCCATATAAGTAAATTTGATAAATAATAGTATAACTATTTTTTTCATTTTATCCATATTTATATAATTATTGACATTTACAGTGACTTTTTGACCATTGTAGCCTTTAACTAATAAAAAATTATCATCTTGCCTTCATTTATAAACTATTTCAAAAATTTAACCTTGTCAACAAACATAATATCAATCTACCCCAGTTTGACCGTTGACCACCTGGGTAGACCACCCGGTTACCCGGGTACACACTTGGTTACCTTGGTACATATTCTTATTTACCCTGGTACACACCCGGTTACCCTGGTACATATCCTTATTTATTCCGGTACACACCCGGTTATCCTGGTACATGTCCTTATTTACCCTAGTACACACACAGTTACCCTAGTACATATCCTTATTTTCAAAGCCCAACCGTGAATCCAACTCAAATCCATCAATAAAGAAAACATGGTTAAATGTGTTTGTAATTTGTATGGAAAATTTGTCAAGAAAATATCTCATTTAGCTAAAGCGAGGGTTAGTGAGGTATGCACATTGAGTCTCTCGTCTATAAGGCATAAAGACATCATTGCATATCCATAATTTTTTGTGAATAAAAGTGAAATTATGTATATATTTTAAAATTAATGTGAAGTAAGACGAAATTTTTATAAAAATTAAAAGCTTTAATATTAACTGGTTAAAATATAAAATATAATTTTTGAAATTTTCAAAATGATGGGGTTAACACGGCTTTTTTTTGTAATTTGGTTATGTGAGATGGCCATTGGATTGTACATTCATATATTGTAATTTGTTTTTTGTACACACTCAATTCCTCTGATATATATCCTTATTTTCTAAGCCCAACTGTGAATCCAACTTAAAAGACAAACAATAAACTGTAAAGTAATACTAGGAACCTGGTAGAACCAAACGACAAAAAACATGTAAAACATATATAATAGTTAAAATCTCAAATAACATGATTATTTTTATTTTAGAAATTAGTATTAAATGCATCGAATAAGATAACAATTAACATTATAAATAATTTTCATTTGTGTAATGCAATCTTTTGACATTCCTTAAAATTTAAAAATGTATATTTTATTATCATTAATGACAATTTCATTATTACTTTTTTCTTTTCTTTTCATATTTGCTCAAAAAATTTAAACAATTGACAGGCAAGTAACATCAGCCATAGTCCGTAATTCCTTAAATGTTGGAGTTATCAAGATAGTCATCCACTCATCCGTTTGAAACGAACATGGTAGTGGTGGACCTGGTGGTGCCACATGAAACTCTAGTCTTGTTGTCCCTAGCGACACATCTTGCCGTAGATGGATAATAAGTTTCACGCTATTATAATGTGATATATATATATATATATATATATATATACGAGGTAGAATCTTTGATACTGGTGTTAAATTTGACACCTCATCTGAGAGACATTAGATCAAAAAATATCAATGGCTCTGATTTGTAAGCATGTGACACCATTGATATTTTTTGATCCAATGACACCTCATCTGAGAGACATTAGATCAAAAAATATCAATGGCTCTGATTTGAAATTTGACACCTCATCTGAGAGCAATTAGATCAAAAAAGATCAATGATGTCAGATGCTTACAAATCAAAGTCGTTGATCATTTTTTATCTAACGACTATCTCAGATAAGATGTCAAATTTAAAATTTGACACCAGTGTCAAAGATCCTACCTCATTCATATATATATATATATATATATATATATATATATATAAATTTAAAACAAAAAACAAAAAACAAGTGCAACATAGAGTATAATTTCAACATCCAATCAGTTTTATTAAAAGAAAATTTCTTATACTTCATAGAGTATAATTTCAACATCCAATCAGTTTTATTAAAAGAAAATTTCTTATACTTCAATGAAATCTTACAATAAAACCAAATATTCATGAACGGTTCTCTGTTGGCAAACAACTAAAACAGAACAAATCAAACAAAGTAGTTCTTCTACTCCTGCAGTAAAGAAGCCATACGCCTGATCAATTTATCGCCATTCTCAGATTCTGGATTGAACAAATGATAAACATGATCCTCCTCTTTCTCTTCAAAGAGTTCTACTTTCCCTTGCCAACCGCTCTTCTTCACAGCCTCATAATACCAAACCCCTCTGTCCCTTAAACCATCCTTACCAGCAACACACACAATCATTCTAGAACAAGCAAGTCCAGCCAAGCTAGGTGCCCCTGGAGCCAAAGGATTAATCATGGGGTTATCAATCCCACCCTCCGCGGATGGGTACACCAACTTCCAAACCAAATAGAATAAGTTATGTTCAAGTCCTGTAACAGGTTCTGACCCAATTGGGTTTGAACCATAGAAGTAGGGATGGGCTAAAATAGCACCTAATATTTTAACATTACCAGGCAAAGCCTCAGCACAAGCACGGAAAGCAATCATGTTATGTGTAATATTACCACCAGCGCTATCACCACCTATGAAAACTCTGTTGAAATCACCATGTTCAATCAGCCATGGCTCTGTGTTCGTGGGGTTTTCGGTAGAATGGGATGCGACCCATTGTAGTGCGGCCCAACAATCATCATAACATGCTGGGAGAGGGTGCTCCGGAGCAATCCTATACTCAACTGAAACGACTATAACGTTTGCTAAAGGGACCAACTTGATGAAATGATCTTGGAAGAGTTTGGAGAAAGCAGATTCACAGAAGAACCCACCCCCATGAAAGTAAACGTAGATGGGAAGTTTCACTTTCTCAGGGGCGAACTTTGGAAGGTAAATGCGTGCAGAGATTGTGGGGTTTTGTGAGATGACAATGTCTTTGGATGAGACTCCAGTTTTTGGGTCATCAAGTAAGGGTGGCACGATTGGAAAATTTCTTGGTCGTTCAACGGTGCCATCTCTGAAGACCCGGATCCAGGTGGGAATCTCTGTAACGATGTCTTTGGTAATGGTGGAAGCCATTTCAATGCATGCAAGAACACAGAAATAGTCCTAAGAGAAAGTTAGTTGCAGTTCTTTTAGGGGGAGAAGATTCATTGATTGAAACACTTAATATGAAGGCTTGTATAAAAAGACAACCACAAACTGACGCAATACATTGAAAGCAAGACCGGTTGATGAGTTTAGAACGTGTTTTTTAATGAAATTCAAAAGTCGCTATCAGAGGATTTATATAAGGCTTTAACGTCTCTCTTTTGCTGTATAAATAATTTTTTTGTTTTATTAGGTTGGTGTTTGTCATTTTAAATGACATAAGTTATGTTATTTTAGGAGAGAGATAGATAAAAAAAATAGAAATCATGTGAGAGAGAAAGTGAGTGATTTTTTTTAATTTAAATTTTAAATAAAAAAATTATTTTGTATCTATCTCTCTTAAAATAACATAATTTTATGTCATTTAAAATGATAAACACTTTTTTCTTGTTTTATTCACGTAAAAGTAAATGAATTTTATTATAAAGAAAAAAACTAGAAGATTCACTCATTTTTATATGGATATAACAAAAAAAGTTTTCTCTAGCAAAAACAAAAACAATTTTTCCTTAATATAAATTGAGTTAGGCATGAATTTTTTTTTTTAACATTATTGTATCAGATTAATTATTTCATACAACAGACACAATAATAAATGAAATCATTTTTTTCTTTTGTTCCTTTTTCTTAATAACTTTCACCCACTTTTAAATTTTTCTCGCCAAGTTGCGAACTACCAACTTTGTAACCCCCCAACTGTATCTATGATTTAATTGAACAGTCTTCAGCTTTTGGTACTACTACATTAATTACGTATAACAAACAAACAAAAAGGAAAAATTGTGCGTTATTTTAAAGGACGTAAAGTTGTGTTATTTTAAGTGAGAGAAAGAGATAAATCATTGAAGAGAGTGGACAAAAAAACCAAAGATGTGGGTCTGAGAGAGTAAAATGACAAAGTTGTGTTATTTAAAAAGACAAACACTTTTTCCATAAAAAAAAAATTAAAATTTTAAAAAAAACTTAAATTCTAAAATAAGATATAATGATTTTTTTTCATTATAAGAATTAATGAAAATTTAAATTATGAATTAATTATGATAAAAAAACTTAAATCTTAAAATCATAGAATAATCTAACAAGTTATTAGGAAATATTTTCTCAAAATACCAATAAAGAGGTTTTTCTTACCTTACCTTAATATTAATTGGTCTCATAAATAATATTTAGTATAAATAAATTAGCATACATTATTATTATTATTATTATTATTTTAAAATTGGAAACCAATTCATTAAATCAAATAATATTAATACTATAAAATAATTTTCATTTATCTGATGTAATTTTTGGAAGTCCATTTAAATTTAAAAGTATAAATTTTATTATAAATAATGATAATTTGATGATTGATTTTTTCTCTCTCTTTTTTATTTGTGTGAAAAAATTCAAATATTTAATAAAATTTGAATACTTCAAGTGCCGAAATATTTTGTCTCTTCTAACGTAATTTTTTTTTCTAATTTCTTCTAGTCTTTGAAAAACTGCATGATATATTGATTAATCGTAAAAAAAAAAAAAAAATATATAGCACAAGAATCAATGTTTTATAAATAAATTTGTAACTCAAACAAATCACTCACCCAACTTGAATAATATTATCATTTTGTCCTATGGGCCCATTCAAGTCTAAGGTGCATGTGCATGAAAATGGAGGATCAACAGTGATAAAAGAGCATTTATTTCACGTTTATATTATTTGTGATAGGTTATTTTACTTATTATTTTTTCTGCATACCTCTGTCTACTACTTTAAAATATTATTAGATCATAATCTTAACTAACATTTATCTTTCTCTCTCTTCTTGAGATTCTGATCTAACAGTGTTGGAAAGTGGTGGACAAAGATAGACAGAAAAAATAAGAGGTAAAATAATGGGAAATATTACTCTCCTTTTGCATAAGATTACTTCTCTCCTACTCTCTCACTTCGATTTCCGCACCTCACCTTTTTCTTTTTTTTCTTTTTTCTTGTAATGGTGGGACCCACCCATTTTATCTCTACAACATAAGATACCTATCTTATGTTGAAGAAGAATAATAAAACCCTAAAATAATATATCCCATATTATATTTCTCTCTCTTCTTGAAACAAGTCATATTTCAACACGTTGAATCACATTTTAATATTAAATAATGTTTTAATATATATTACAAATCATTTCTGTTAATAATACTTTGTAATTTAATATTTCCGAATATTTTATTTTATTTAGAATTTCATTTGCCAGCTAAAAAATAAGTCCATTTTGTGTAATGATGCCTGCCAGCCCATAGAGGTGTGTGTCCCCACTCCATCACGCATCCTGTGATTTATGCTACGCGTGTTCATCACTCTCTCTTTTCCAACCTTTTCCATGTGGAAAAATAATTATGTGATTATGTTATTTGATCACAACTACTCATTGATCATGAGATAAGAAAGAAAAAAATGTATAATTTTTAAATAAGTAATTATGATTAAATAACAAGACCACATGATTACTTTTCCACGTGAGAAATCCACTCCTTTCCCTTTCTGGTTTTTTTACTTCCCTTTCTTTTCGCACTCTCTTTTTCAATCTTCGCCCAAAACAAACAATGGCATCCTCCTCCAACATGGTCTTGTTCATAACACTCTCATTGTTCTTCTTTAAAACATCATATGCAAAGCTCACCTTAGATTACTACAAGGACATGTGTCCACAGTTCAACATCATCATCCAAGACACGGTCACAAACAAGCAAATCTCGAGCCCAACCACCCCCACCGCCATGCTCCGCCTCTTCCTCCGCTACTGCCTCCTCCTCAATGGCTACGATGCCGACATCAACCTCTCCCTCCCCAGCATCCTCGCTGCTGCCACACACGACCTCCTCAACATGCTCGACGGCCCTTCTACCTTATCTTTTGTCTGTTTTTTTTTTTATTTTATATATTTTATTTTAGATTATTTCAATTTTATAAAAATATCAAAAAAAATTACATTCGCCACGGTGAAAATCACGTGTGGGAATAGCCAACATATCCAAAAAATATTGAGGGTGTGTGGAAACGTGTTAGTGTACGACACTCAATTTTTTTTTGAAAAGAACGTATTGGTGCTTCATTGCGTGTATAGTCCTTCTATTAGGCCTAATATTCAACCCAGAAAAAGGGAGAAATTGAGAATTGTTTTAATTAAAAAATTATTAAACTTATGATCCATATAATGAAATTGTGGAAGATAGTTATTGAACATCGTTTGAAAATATAGATCAAGGTCATTGTAAACAGTGGCATGGCAGAGCCAAGAAAAGATTTTAGGTAGTGCCAAAAAAATATGTCAAATTATCTAAATTTTTATTATGAATTCTAGTATATTTATCTAAATTATTTACTAAATAATCTCAAGTAACATTGAAATTCAAATGAATAAATTTCAATATATCAAAGCAAACATATAAAAATGTATTAATATTTTCGATAAACATTTCAAATATAAAAATTTCACTTTTCTCCTACAATATAATAAATAATTAACCAAGTATTGTCCTAAAGATATAATAAAATCTATTAAGAAAATTGTAGTAAAAGTTTCATAAAAAAAAATGTTCAGTATACTAGTTTAAAATATAATAAAAAAACTACATACCTAAAATTGTAAACGACACTTTTGAACTGAGGAAATTATGCAATGAGCAAAGAATAGATTGTCAATCAAACTTCATTCTTGGTACATTATATTAGGGGTGCTCAACGAACCAGGAGCTTTTATCTCGACTTGTGAAAGCCTGAGCTTACATATCTAAAATTGGTTGTTGACACCAGGCTTAAACTTGTATAAAAACTCGTTTAATAAAAAGGCTTTAGACTCCAATTCAAAAGTTCAACCTTGAAGCCTCTCAGGCTGACCTAGTATATTATTTTTTTTATATTTTTTATACCAGTTGTAATAGCCCTTTATTTCTTCCTCAATTAATTTCACCCTATTTTATTGGTTCAATAGAGTTTTTTAATGATTTTATTTTATATTATGCTGTTTGAATATACATTGAATTTATGAATATTTATGAAATTATTAATATTGATTATTGTATATTATGTTTGAATAAATTTTTGTTGTCTTATTTTTTTTAAATAGACTAACAATCTAAACCAAACCTTTATTTGTTGTAAATAAGGCGACTACATGCCAAAATTATATTTATAAACACTTCTTTATACTACCTACTTACATTCCAATCGTGCATATAACTTTGACATCAAGTCTTAAAATGCTATGATAATAATGACCGATGAAAACATAAATGCCAAACCGTAAATTGAATCGCGAATTGAAAGGCAGCCTAATTTCACAATCACGATGAAATGTAATTTGAATGGCAAGATTCATAATGAAATTATTAAAAATAACTTAAAATACATTTTTCACATAATGAAACGTTACAGAAATTTAGATATTAAAACTTTTTAAAGTGAAATAACTCATTATGTATTTAAAAGATTTCTATCATAGCGGAGCAGTGTGTTTGCGACCTCAGTCCCCTACAAGATTTCAATTGCAGAGTCAGAGCGTTTTTCAGTCGTGCTTATCTTAGAAAAATGTTATAATTTAAATAAATTATTTATATTCGTTTTCAAAATAACGTTATTTTTTATTTAAAAATTAAAAAAAATATAATAAAAAAATTATTATAACCTTAGAACAAATTATAATTATAAAAATATTTTGATTAGTGTCTCACGATTTGCCCTCATTTTACATCAGATTCAGAAACATACAGATTTACAAGTTTCTGTTTCGACAAAAAAAAATAAAACACAGAAGTGTACGAAAGAAGAGACCGTGAATGATGACAGGGCCGGCGCGGCACAAGAAGCTCAGATCATTGGCAGTGCTACTCGCCTGCTTGTGCAAGGGGGACGATGGTCGACGAATGTGGCTGATTGTGTTTGCTGCTAGAGG